TAAATAAATTTGGTTAAATGTTAAATTTAGTCCCTCAACTTTACGAAATGAACATTTTTGGTCCCTTAACAATTTTTTGTACTTTTTTAATCCCTTAACTCTAAAACTTGCACAATTTTGGTCCCTCCGTCAGTTAAGTATGACATGGCAGTTAAATAATTTTATGTGGCATTATCTTTTAATTTTTTTTATGATGTGGCAATAATATATACTATAATTATATTATAAAAATGCCACATAGGTTAATATTTTTTATTTTAATTAAAAACAAATACAATTACTTTTTTACCCTCACCCTCCCAATCCCTCTTCTTCCCCTTCTTTCTTTCCCTTTCCTTCTTTCCTACCCTGGGTCGATGGAAAGATGAACCCAGCAGGCGAAACCCAGCCTTCCTCACCCTCCCAATCCCTCTTCTTCCCCTTCTTTCTTTCTCTTTCTTTCTTTCCTACCTTGGTTTGGTGGAAAGCTGGGTTCATTGGAACCCAACATAGAAACATCCAACATTTGGTAAAGACGGAAAGTAGCCAATGGAGGGCTCTAGGCTCTGCGTGCTCCTACCCATTTTCTTGCTCAGCGATGACTTGCCAATGGATAACTCCAGGCTCAAGAGGAACGTCACCGGTATGTTTCCGGAGCAGATTGCGCTTGCCATTTCCTCACCAACTTCAATGTGGGTCTCCTGGGTCACGGGTACTTCTTTCCAAATGTTGATTTTGCTTCTGTTCTTGTTTGTGCTATTATGGGTTCTTTGATAGATTCGTTGATTTTGGGTTGATTTGTGTTGGCTCAGGGGATGCTCAGATTGGTTCCAATGTGACTGCGCTCGATCCATCATGGGGAACCCAGCAAATCTGGGTTCGATTGAAACCCAGATCTCCTGGGTTCCGATGAACCCAGCCTTGCTGGCTTTCGTCGAAACCCTGCTGGGTTCGGTTGAAACCCAGCAAGGCTGGGTTTCGAAGAACCCAGGCTGGGTTCATCGAAACCCAGATCTGCTGGGTTCCGATGAACCCAGATCTGCTGGGTTCGTCGAAACCCAGCCTTGCTGTTTCAACGCGATTTCCATTGTTGATTTACAATTTGATTGATTTTTGTTAGAATTTAATTAGAGTTTGATTGTATTTTTGTTGAAATTTGATTAGAGTTTGATTGATATTGTTTATTGAAGGGTTAGATTGATTTGATAACATTTGTTATGTTAGGTTTGAGGCTTCAATGAAACCCAGTAGCTGGGTTCAATGACAGGATTTCAAATTCTCCTTTGAAGCATTTTAGGGTTCATAGGGTTCATAGACATATTATTTTGTGAGGACTTTACTGCTAGTGCAACCCAACTCGAGTTAGATTGATTTTGCAGAGAGTGAAGATGAGAGACCATTCTAGGGTTGACATATCTTTATTGGTGGTTTGCAGGCAACGTGAGACGGTGTTGGTGCAGGAAGAAGATGACATGTCATAAAAAAAGATTCCAGTTCAGCACATTTTTATGTTGTTCTTGCCATGTCATCAAAAAAATAATAAAAAATGCCACGTGGTTGAGTTAACGGCCCAAATTGACAGAAGGACAAACGTTGTGCATTTCTTAGAGTTGAGGGATCAAAAAAGTGTAAAAAATTATTGAGGGACCAAAAATGTGCAACTCACTAAAGTTGAGGGACCAAATTTAGCATTAAACCAATAAATTTTCAACTCATTAAAAATAATTGTAAAACTTTAAAAGGGTATTTAATTTAACACTAAACTGGAGAAGTTACTAATGGCAATTTATTAGACGTGGGCCAAGATTTTCCTTTAAAATTAAAAAAAAAAAGTAACAATCATAAATGTATTCTATTTTTGTCTTTTCTTTTCTTTCACATGATACAGCAATGCAACCCATTGAACAAGCAATTGCATCACTATACATGTCAACAGAATTCCAGAACATTCATTCTTCTTACTTTTATGAACTTAAGAAGCAAGCCCGCCGTACTTGCACCAGGCTTACTGTCGAAGCTTCCAGTCAATTCGGCCCTAAAAAAATATTTTTTTATTTAAAAGATATAAAAAAAATGATATTTACAGCGGTGTTATTTTGACGCGCAGTTGACTGGAAACCAGCAACGACCGTCAGCCGCCAATTTCGAATCCGAGGTCAAACAACCCATCTCCCGCCCTTGATGGATTTTACCCTGCTTCTCGTGTATACGTTCGCACAGAATCCCTACCCATTAACCCAATCCTACCCATACACGTGTCCAGATCGGTACGGCCGTCACCAATGCAAAAACAAAAGCCGTGTTAAATAAGCAGACCGACAGAGCCGACTTGGACCGACCATGTCGCCACGTCATCGACAGCACCACACACGTTTCTTCCTATCTCCTCTAACTCTGCGCCACGTATTCCCTTTAACGGCTAGTTTTGCTGCCTCCTGTTTTTAAACCGCC